CGCATCACTTAAACGCACGTCCACTCCACGAACATTACGCAGAGTGGCTAAAAACATGCTCGCCAGACAGATAGATGGCCAGGGTGTTATGCAAAGGTTACACGTTACAATTTGCAACCCGACCCCCTCCGTTCGGAGGAATTTTAGAGACGGTCCTGTCATCACCAGACCAAATCTCATCCCTAAATGCAGAAGTCCAGGAGCTTCTGATAAAAGAAGTAATCTCCAGAGTTCCCAACGGAGAGAAAAAAAACAGGGTTTTACTCACGTTACTTCCTGGTTCCCAAACGGACCGGAGGGATGAGACCGATTTTGGATCAGTCAGCTTTCAACAAGGTGATCATGGACAAACCGTTTCACATGTTGACAACCAGACAGCTGTTGGACAACATCCAGAGAAACGACTGGTTTGTTTTCCGTTGACCTGAAAGATGCTTATTTTCACATACCGATCATCCCAAAACACAGAAAATTCCTGCGTTTCTCCTTTCAAGGGATGAAGTATCAGTACAGCAGGCTGCCGTTCGGTTATCCTCTCGTGCCTCATACGTTCTCAAAGTGTGTGGAGACAGCCCTGCATCTGTTACACAGAGCAGGGATGAGAGTTTTGTTTTACCTGGACGACCTGCTGCTGCTGTCACGCTCCAGACAGGAAGCAGTGATGCAGGCTCAGGTGTTGACATCACACCTGTTAAATCTGGGCTTCACCATAAATTGGAAGAAAAGCTCAATTTTCCTGGCCCAGACAATTGTTTATCTGGGAGTGAAGCTAAACTCAACTACCATGAGGGTTCGTTTATCACAAACGAGAATCAACACTTTAAAAGACCAGCTCCGTCATGTAAGACCTGGCAGAGTGGTAACAGCTGTCTCCGTCATGAAGCTGTTAGGAATGATGCCAACACAGTTGTCCCGCTGGGTTTATTACACATGAGACGCCTCCTGAGGTGGTTTGCGCGTCTGTGTGTGGATCCAGTAAAACAAAAGAGACGGATGATCACTGCCCCTCCCTCTGTGAGAGCAGACCTCCGACACTGGGGAAACACCCTGGTTCTGTTGGAGGGAGTCCCCGTCAGCAGACCCACGTCACACGTGCCAGTCTTCACGGACGCATCGCTGTCAGGCTGGGGGGGCATGCCTATCTCAAGCAGTAGGGGCGCTGTGGCCCCATCACACATCTGCCCACATAAATGTTTTGGAGTGTCGCACGGTGCTGAACGTGATTCAACACTTTGCTCCTGTGCTACAGAATCAACACGTTTTGATTCACACAGACAACAAGGTGACTGCTGCGTACATAAACCAGCAGGGGGGTGTGCGTTCAGCCCAGATGTTACACATTGCGTGAAAGCTACTGTGTTGGGCTCACTAAAATCTGCTCTCCATCAGAGCAGTTTACATACCTGGTGTTTTGAACAAAGGGGCAGATGTGATGTCCAGGGGCAGCTCACGTCACGCGGACTGGACTCTCCATCCAGACCTGATGGCTTAGACGTGGCAGAAAATTGGCAAAGCAGCTGTGGACCTGTTTGCGACACGAGAAAACGCTCAGTGTCAACTATGGTTTTCTCTGAGCCCGCGAGATGAACCACAGCTGGGGGTGGATGTGTTTGCCCACAGCCCATGGCCCAAAACACTTCTGTACGCGTTTCCTCCACCTCCTCTGATTTTACGGTTCCTGAACCGAGTTCAGGAGGAGGGATTGACAGCTCTCCTGGTGGCCCCCGAGTGCGTGAACGCACCATGGTTCCCAGTCCTGCATGCCTGCTGTTGGGGCGCCCGTGGAAACTGCCGTGGAGAGAGGACGCTCTCCTCCAGGCAGGAGGAGCGATCAGGAGTTACCCAGAAATAGGCCAGCACCTGTGGGTCTGGCCGCTGAGTGGTTCTGCTTAGAGAGGATGGGTTTCCCACAGGAGGTAGTGCGCACAATCCAGGATTCACGTGCTGCATCTACCACAGCGCTGTACACATCAAAGTGGACAGTTTTTCAGTGCTGGTGTACAGAAAAAGGTATAGAGGCCACCTCATGTCCACTAGGTGGCGTGCTATCCTTTCTACAACAGCTGATGAACAGAAATTTGGCGTCTATCACGATTAAAACGTATGCTACAGCCATCTCTTACTGCCACGAAGGGCTCGGAGACAGAACAGCCTTTAATCATCCGCTGATGAAGCGTTTTCTAAAAGGTGTACAGAGACGCAGGCCTGTTTCACGCCCACTTGTTCCACAGTGGGTTTTAACGCTGGTCCTGCTAGCCCTGATCAAAGCTCCATTTGAGCCTCTGGATCAGGTTCCAATTAAATTCTTGTCTCTTAAAACAGCCCTGCTGCTGGCTTTAACATCCGCTAAGAGGGTGAGTGATTTATCTGCCCTCTCTGTCGCTCCGTCATGTCTTAGAATTCAGGCTGACGGCAGCTCAGCTGATTTAGGACCAAACCCAGCTTTTATGCCTAAAACATCATGAGCTCTTTTAAATCAAGGGTGATATTGTTGGAGGGGTTTTTCCCTTCCCCCCACAAATCAGAAGAAGAGGCGTTTTTCCATCTTCTCTGTCCGGTGCGGGCGTTGACGTGTTACATAACACGTGCAGCTGCAATGTATCAAACTCAACATTTGTTTGTGCATTATAGAGATGCATCTGCAGGTCGCCCGTTATCCACCCAGCGCTTGTCACACTGGCTGTGTGAGGCCTTTTCTGAAGCCTACAGAGCATCAGATTTAGAGTCTCCTGTCAACCTCAGAGCGCACTCGACCAGAGGTATCGCATCTTCGACTGCTTTGCATAATGTATGTCAATGCAGGACATTTTGCACTGCGGCTGCGTGGTCAACACCCTGCTCATTCATTCACTTTTATCTACGTGATGTGACGGCTCGTTCCATGACATATTCTGTCCTTAGTGTTTTACAGAATGAATATTGTTGTTTCATGGAACTCCGTTTAACTCACATCTGTCTGCATGCATTACAGTGTGAGATGTTGGTATCAGTCACAATTTGTGGTTGTTATTTTGGTTCTATTGTCACTAATCAGTTCACGACTATTGTTACCAATCAGTTAATTTGATTAATCAATCAACCTTTATTTAGACAGGTAAATCCCATTGAGCCTCGAGGACTCATTTACAAGAGAGACCTGATTTCAACAAAGAAAGATGACAACAATGGACAACAGCAAAAACAGTAAACAGTTATAAAAAGTCATACTGCAGGTTTTTTTTAATTTTTTTTATTTTTACAAATAGGATGGCTAAAAGGAAATTATTAATAATCAGTTCTCCTGTTATTATTAGTCTGTTCATACTGTTCAGCCATAACCGATTGGTTCATGGCTCTTTTCAGCATATTTTCCCTCCCCGTTGAATTTTCCGGGGCGTTCATGCATTCAGAACGCATAGTTACACAACATGCGTCTGTGCATGGCACACATAATTACGCAATACGTAATTACGCACATGGGGAGCTGAGTGACAAGATGTTTTTTGGGCAAGCTTCTGTTTCAAACGGTGTTCGAATGGACCCAGTGAGGCGAGGACCACATCTGCTTCGCCCTTAACCCATCAGCGACAGCATTAAAGGGCGAAGCCTATACGAAATAGAATGTTGGTTACGTACTGTAACCCCAGATTCTGTGAGTATAAGTGTAGCCCTTTAAGCGTCGGGCCTCACTGGCTCCTAAGTGGCTGAAGAAAAAGCTATTTGGGAGCCGATTACCCGCTCTTAACGTAATTTATACGGACCGGGTGGGGCCCACACAGCAGGTGGGCGTGGACTAAATTTTTTCAGTGCAATGCTTCGCATAACGGGATAAACCCATCAGCGACAGCTTTAAAGGGCTACGCCTATACTCATAGAATATGGGGTTACAGTACGTAACCAACGTTTTCTTTTGTGTATTTATCAATTAGTTTGACAATTTTCAGTGGACGTTTAAAAGAGTTTTAGTGAGTCCTTCTCAGTTTTGTACTTATTTACTGTTATGGGGCGGTACCATTCTGCGCCCCGCGTTCATCAAGTGGATCGGAACATGCCGCCAGTGATTCGAACAGTCATCTCCAACAGTCCCAGTTGAGGCATCTGATGTTCTGCCCGATGGACCCATTCGTCTGGTTTTAGCTCGATGATATGATGCTAACAACCGAGCTGAGCTCAGAGCTACGCTGTGCACATTGATCATTAATTTAGTCGTGCAATGAAGTGGTGAAATTATCCCCGTTTGAGGTGGGGCGAAGTTAATTCAATTCAATTCAATTCAGTTTATTTATATAGCGCCAAATCACAACAAAGTTGTCTTAGGACTCTTTACAGGAACATTCACATCAAAGCCAGTTAGTAAAGTTCTCTATCTAAGGAATCCAGGAGACAAGTTGAATCTTGGCTTTGTTGCAGTCTCCCATCCTGAGCAAGCACAGTGGAGACAGTGGAAAGAAAAACTCCCTTTTAACAGGAAGAAACCTCCAGCAGAACCAGCTCAGGACAAGAGACCATCTGCTTTGACCGGCTGGTTGAGAGGACAGGAAGGAGAGACAGACGAACACAGAATGGTAGGGGTTAGGCGTCAGTTTCTCTGACTGTTGTTCATGAGACAACCTCGACTCGTGGGAGGAAGAAAAAAGGCAACAAGTTTGTGCACAAAAACAAGAAAAACAACAAATCAAATATTAAACAACACATAAACAAAATAAAGTTTTACAGAAAATGTAACGCAGCTGGTAAAGTTAGTGTAGTTAGTGATTCAGGAAATGAACATCCGCCCCACTAATATTTCTGCTCAGGAGCTGGCACTTTGAAGCGTAAGGGGACAAATGGAAGGGGACAAAGGACATTTGTGTGGACGGTGACTCAACAGTCACACTTTGCCTGGAAACCCATCCAGAGTAGTTTAGACAAACTGGACGTTTGTTTTTTAATTTTAATTCCTACATTAACACCAGCCCTGTGGAGAACCAGCGTTCAGAGAGTGAGACAGAACGGGAGACCAAAGGACAATCAATAAAGACCTCACACTCTCCTCGGACACACACGCTGTAGGCGTCTTCGTAAGAACACAGCGTCCCATCATGCACCATTCTGTTCATGGACACCACGGCCCCCGTCTCTTTGGACCGACAGTAAAGATGACAGCGCCGGTCAGCTGCACACACAGAAACACACACACGTTCTTGTAAACGTACTTTTGGGGACTTTGCCTTGACTTCCATTCATTAGTCTAACCCTGACTCTTACCCTAACCAGTACTAGTACATGCCTAACCTTAACCAGTACTATTACATGCCTAACCCTAACTAGTACTAGTACATGCCTAACCCTAACCAGTACTAGTACATGCCTAACCTTAACCAGTACTATTACATGCCTAACTTTAACCCTACCGCAGTTCACACCTTAGTCCTAAACTTAACCCCTCAACGAGACTTATCCTGGCTTTGGTCCCCATAATGTAGGATTTTTTTTTGTAAAATTGGTCCCCCACAAAGTAAAACACACACATACACACACACACACCCACACACACGGTTCACACTGTGTGTTCTGGTGATATTGTGAGGACAGTTGGTCTCCTCCTCCTCAGGTCTGAGGACATCCAGTCCCTGCAGTATGAGCACTCTGTGGGACACATTCTGTAGACCAGGTTCAGCTTGCGGTAACAGTGTGTGTGTGTGTGTGTGTGTGTGTGTGTGTTGTGGCATGCTAAAGTCATCAGTCAGGAATTTGCTCTTGGAAGAGAGACTGCTCTCCTCCCTTTAACTCCTTCACTTCTTAAAGGAATCCACTTTAAATATTCCTGTTTCTTTGTGTGTGTGTGTGTGTGTGTGTGAATGTGCTTGTTTATGTTACTTTGTGAGGACCAAAGCCCTGTTCTATTTCCTATAGGCTTCGCCCTTTAAGAGCTGTCGCTGATGGGTTTATCCCGTTATGCGAAGCATTGCATTGAAAAGTTTAGTCCACACCCACCTGCTGTGTGGGACCCACCCGGTCCGTATAAGTTACGTTAAGAGCGGGTAATCGGCTCTCATTTTTCTTCAGCGCCCAGTAATGCATCTCGCTCTTGGCAGGAGCGACACACGTCTCACCGCAGTGGTGTCAAACGCGCGCTCCTGTGGCGTCAACAATTTTCACACGCCTCACAGCGGCTCCGCTCCTTCATCCTCAAAGAAGGTTTTCTGAATAACATGTTGGGCAAGATGGCGCCAGTGTTTGAGGCTCGCTGTCTGCTGCTCCTACTATTTTTTCTGTTGTCTATTTTTATCCTCAATGCAAGTGTAAACGCTCGGATTGTCTATGATCGCCAAAAATTGCTAGACATTGGAGCTTCGATTGGAGCCTCGACTGATAATATGTTATCGTGGAATCCTACTAGTGGAAAAACCCCGCCCTTGTTGCTGGGCATTCCAGCTTACCTGTGTCGCTTCTGGCCTCTACCTTTTCGACGGAAGCGCCGTGGCAAACGTAGCGGCTGGTTGGTGCGTTTGAAGGCTGCTTTGGGGCATCGATGTCCAGACCCATTCAATGTTCGTGGGCGGGTGCCGCGCCTCTACTTCCCGTTACGTGTGTTGGATCCTGTGGGTACCTGTTTAGTGCCTGTTGATGGAGGCCATGATGGACTGTTCCAGCCCCGTTTTCCCTGCACTCCTCGGCCCTATAGACGTGTGGTGAATCTTCACAACCTGCGACCTCTTCGCCGGGAATCTCGGACGTCAGATGGTGGCGGAGATCCGCCAATCTCTGCCAGGATCGGTCTGATAAATGCTAGGTCGCTAGCTAACAAAACCTTCGCCATTAAGGATTACTTTTCCTCTCAAAGCCTGGATTTCTTATTCATAACGGAATCTTGGACAACTGGTATGGGTGAGTCCAGCGTTTTTAATGAACTCTTGCCGCAAAACTGCTGCTATTTCAATTTTCCAAGGATGTCTGGACGAGGAGGAGGAATAGTAGCGGTTTTTAAAAGCTGTTTTACTTGTAAACAGTTGCATCCAGTCCGTTTTGGTAGCTTTGAGCTTGGTCTCTTTGAACTTCTTAGCTCCCACACAGTGTTGTGTGCGGTGGTCTATCGGCCCCCTAAATATAACAAAAATTTTATAAGTGATTTTTCTGATTTCTTGGCTGATATCATGCCACGATATGACAGAGTTTTATTGGTTGGTGATTTTAATATTCGTATCTGTTGTCCTACTTCACCTATGGCTCAGTCGTTTCTTAATGTTATTGAGTCTTTTAATCTTGTGCAGTCTGTAACTGGTGCTACCCATGAGCATGGACACACTCTTGACTTGGTTTTATCTTATGGTCTACCAGTTTTTAATTTAGTGATTGGTGACCCGTTATTTTCAGACCATATGCCTGTTTTATTTGAGATAAAGCAGTCTATTACTAAGGTTAAACCATGTGCACCAGTTCGGTTCTGTCGTGTTCTTAACCCTTCTACTGCTGTTCAGTTTTCTTCTGTTTTTAATAAGAACTGTACAATCCCAGAGACTGTCAGAAATAAAACCGAGGATATCAGCAACTGGTTTTATTCTACTAGCAAAGCAGCTCTGGATTCGGTGGCACCGTTAAAAACTAGACTTGCAAAATCCAAACATGAACCCTGGTTAAATGACGACACTCGGGCTGCCAGGAGGAACTGTCGTAAAGCTGAACGAAAATGGCAAAAGGATAATTTGCAGGTGTCGCTGCAAATATTGAAGGAATGCTGGCGCTGTTATCAAAGGATTGTAAAAGACGCTAAAAGAAGATACCTGACAAATATAATTGTATCAAACAGTTGCAATCCAGCTATTTTATTTAAAACTATTAACTCTGTTCTAAATGCCCCACATGGTGCTTTTGTGGAGACTTCCCCTGCTGTTTGTGAAAGCTTTTTAAACTTTTTTGTTGAGAAAGTCACTTCTATTAGGGCACAGATCATACCCATTGTGTATGACCCTATTGATACTGTGTCTTGCCCTGCTGTTTTTAATAGCTTTGAATGTGTGACTTTGCAATCCCTGCAGGAGGTCGTTAGTCACTTGAAGCCAACTGGTTCTCCAGATGATGCTATTCCACCTCGACTGTTCAATGAGGTTTTTAATACTATAGGTCTGTCGATCCTTGCTCTTGTTAATAGTAGCTTGTCCTCAGGTGTTGTTCCTGAAAATCTGAAACATGCAGTTGTCCAGCCTCTAATTAAGAAATCAAATTTGGATCCTGCTGTCCTAGCGAACTACAGACCAATTTCAAAATTGCCTTTCATCTCGAAAATTCTTGAGAAGGTAGTTTATAAGCAACTAATGTCTTATCTCATTGAACATAATATCTTAGAGATTTTCCAATCTGGTTTTAGATCACTTCATAGCACAGAGTCAGCTCTCTTAAAAGTTTTTAACGATATATTTTGGGCAACTGATTCTGGTGACTGTGTTGTTTTGGTGTTGTTGGATTTATCAGCTGCTTTTGACACAGTTGATCACAGGATTTTAATTGCTCGTCTGGAACAATATGTGGGCCTTGGTCAAACAGCTCTAGACTGGTTTAAGTCTTATTTGACAAAACGCACTTTTTGTGTCTGTCTTGATGGCAATAGATCATCCTCTGCTCCTCTATCATGTGGTGTTCCGCAGGGCTCAGTCTTGGGTCCTCTTTTGTTCTTACTGTATCTCCTTCCTCTTGGCTCTGTTTTTAGGAAATACGGGATTGCTTTTCATTGTTATGCTGATGACACACAGATTTATTTACCTTTAAAGAAAGCAGATTCCACTTCTCTTCGGTCTCTGTTTCTATGTTTGGAGGATTTGAAGGCATGGATGGCCCAAAATTTCTTGAAATTAAATGAAGACAAGACAGAGGTAGTGATTTTTGGCAGCTCGAATGAAGACTCTCTGCCTGTTGATTGCTCTTTGGCTCAGTATGTCAGGCCAGTTGTTACAAATTTAGGGGTCAAGATGGATGCTGGTCTTAGGATGGAGTCTCAAATTAAAACAGTTGTAAAGTCAGGCTTTTTTCATTTGAGGCAGCTGGCTAAAGTAAAACCAATTCTTCCCAGACAGCATTTTGAAACAGCAATCCATGCATTTGTGACCACACGGCTAGATTACTGCAATGCACTTTACATAGGTATTAGTGATTCATGTATTTCCCAGCTTCAGAGGGTTCAGAATGCAGCTGCACGACTTTTAACAGGTACACGGAAATTTGACAGTATTTCTCCTGTTTTGGCCTCTTTACATTGGTTGCCGGTGCATTACCGGATTCATTTTAAAATACTTTTATTTGTTTTTAAAGCTTTAAATGGCCATGCCCCTCCATACCTGTCTGAGCTGCTACATTCTTACACACCCTCTCGTTCACTCAGGTCAGCTGACCAGTTGTTTCTGAAGGTCCCGAAGACAAAGCGTAAGCTTAGAGGGGACCGAGCTTTTTCTGTGATAGCTCCCAGGCTCTGGAATGACCTTCCATTGAACATAAGACAGGCCTCTTCAATTGAGGTTTTTAAGTCCCTTCTTAAAACTCATCTTTTTTCTTTGGCCTTTTAGCACAATCTGAGATGTTTTACCTTGTTTTATTGTGTTTGTATTTTATTTTATTATTTTATTCCTGTTTTAAATTTTACCCTTCCATTTTATCATTGTATTGTATTATATAATTGTGTAAAGCACTTTGGTCCTGTTGGGTGCATAAAGTGCTCTATAAATAAAGTTGGTATGGTATGGTATGGTAATTAAAACTGCAGCTCAATGAATCACTCAAAAGCTCACGTGATTCGCAGCCAAGAATGAACGTGTCTGCAGACCGAGCCCAGTAGTAACCTCGCCCTCAACCAATGCCGCGCGCTGCTTCCTGACCGCACCAGTGTCAAACGCGTGCCCCCATGACAATCCTCGCCTAAGACGTCACGTCAACGAGGGCGCACACACACGACTCTTTTGTGCATGTCAGCTCATATGCGCACCCGCTCCCCGAGCGTTATGTGGAGCAGCAGCACCAACGTGAGCACAGCACAGAGGGGCCGCGTCCCGCAGCATCGGCAGCCACGCACATGGCCTGCATGCTCGGGGGCGCGCATCGCATCTTTCTTTCTCCTTCAGCGCGCACCAGCTCACATCAGCATGCATGTGAGCCCACAGCATAAACGCGTGCCGCTTTATAAACTTTATAAACGAGTGGCAACGAGCGCGCGCTCCAGACGGATAGGTGAACCGTTTTCATCAGGGGATTCACGCTGCAGTACAGCTCAAACCTGGTGCAGAGAAACTCTAGTGACGTTTTCTGTCATTTCTAGAACAGATCTCGTCCCCTCTCGCAGAAGCTCAGGAAATTCTGATTAATGTAATTTCCAGGGTCTCAGAAGGAGAGGAAAACACAGGGTCTCTCTCTCGTCACTCCCTGGTCCCAACAAACCGGAAATATGAGATTTATTCTAGATTTGTCAATTTTGAACTGTAAGAAATGTGTGTGGGGCACACCCAATCTGCTCTCCTTTGGAGTAGGGTACATCTCCTGTGTTCTGAACAGGGGACGGATGTGATGTCCAAAGACGGTTTTTTTTGCAACACGGGGACCAGGGTCCCTCCATCCAGAGCTGATGGCTCAGACGTGGCAGAAATCTTGCGAGCGGCTGTGGACCTGTTTGCAACACGAGAGAACGCTCAATGTCAACTATGGTTATCATTGAGCCCACGAGACGAACCACCGCTAGGGGTGGACTTTTCTGCTCACAGCCTGTGGTTGTAATGCTTCTTCACTTCCCTCACTCCCTCTGATATCACAGTTTTCTGAACCGAGCTCAGGAGGAGGGACTGACAGCTCTTCTGTCCCAAGTGCGTGAACGCATCATGGTTCCCAGTCCTACGACACTTGTTATCGGGGCACTCGTGGAACCTGCCGTGGAAGGAGGACGCTCTCCTCCAGGCGAGAGGAGTGATCAGGAGTTACCCAGAATAGGCCAGCACCTTTGGTTTGGCTGCTGAGCGGATCCATTTAGAGAGGATGGATCTCTCTCAAGATGTAGTGCGTACGATTCAGGATTCACGTGCTGCAACCACCACAGCGCTGTTCACATCAAGTGGACAGCTTTTTAGCGCTGCTTTACAGAGAAAGGTGTAGAGGCCATTTCATGTTCACTAGGTGGTGGGCCGTCCTTTCTGCAGCAGCTGATGGACAGAAAGCTGGCATTCAGCACGATTAAAACGTACACTGCAGCCATCTCTTCCTGTCACGAAATTTTCGGGGACAGAGCAGCTTTTAATCACCTGCTGATGAAGCGTTTCTTAAAAGGTATACAGAGAAGGCGTAGAGGCCACCTCATGTCCACTAGACGACGTGCTGTCTTCTCTGCAGCAGTCGATGGACAGAAATCTGGCGTTCAGCATGATTAACATATGCTGCAGCCATGTTTTCTTCTTGTCACAAAGTTTTTGGAGTCAGAACAGTTTTTAATCATCTGCTGACGAAGCGTTTTTGTAAAGGTGTATAGAGAAGGTGTAGAGGCCACCTCATGTCCTCTAGGCGGTATGCTGTCCTTTTTGCAGCAGCTGATGGACAGAAAACTGGCGTTCAGCACGATTAAACGTATGCTACAGCCATCTCTTCCTGTCACATGGTTTTCAAGGTCAGAACAGCTTTTAATCATCTGCTGATGAAGCGTTTTTTTAAAGGTGTTCAAAGATGCAGGCCTGTTTCACACCCACTTGCTCCACAGTGGGATTTAACGCTGGTCCTGCGAGCCCTGATCAAAGCTCCATTTGAGCCTCTGGATCAGGTCCCAATTAAATTCTTGTCTCTTAAAACAGCCCTGCTGCTGGCTTTAACATCCGCTAAGAGGGTGAGCGATTATCTGCCCTCTCTGTCGCTCCGTCATGTCTCAGAATTCAGGCTGACGGCAGCTCAGCTGATCTAAGAACAAACCCAGCTTTTATGCCTAAAACATCACGAGCTCTTTTAAATTAAGAGCGATATCATTGGAGGGGTTTTCCCCTCCCCCTACAAATCAGAAGAAGAAGCATCTTTCCATCTTCTCTGTCTTGTGCGGGCGTTGATGTGTTACATAGTGCGCACAGCTGTAATGTGTCAAACTCAACATTTGTTTGTGCATTATAGAGATGCATCTGCAGGTCGCCCGTTATCCACCCAGCGCCTGTCACACTGGCTGTGTGAGGCCATTTCTGAAGCCTACAGAGCATCAGATTTAGAGCCTCCAGTCAACCTCAGGGCACACTCGACCAGGGGTATCGCATCTTCGACTGCTTTGCATAATGGTATGACAATGCAGGACATTTGCACTGTGGCCGCGTGGTCAACACCCTGCTCATTCATTCGCTTCTATTTACGTGATGTGACGGCTCGTTCCATGACACATTCTGTCCTTAATGCTCTAACAGAATGAATATTATTGTTTTCATGGAACCCCGTTTAAGCTCACATCTGTCTGCATGCTTTATAGTGTGAGATGTTATCAGTCACAAGTTGTGATTGTTATTTTGATTCTATTGTCACTAATCAGTCCATGACTATTGTTACCAATCAGTTCATTTGATTATAATCAGTTCACTTGTTATTATTAATCTGTTCATACTGTTCAGCCGTAAACCGGTTGGTTCATGGCCCCCCTTTTTCAACTTCTTCACTCCCCGTTGAAAATTTTCTGGGGCGTTCATGCATTCAGAACGCATAGTTACACAACATGCGTCTGTGCATGGCACACATAATTACGCAATGCGTAATTACGCACATGGGGAGCTGAGTGACAAGATGTTTTTTGGGCAAGCTTCTGCTTCATACGGTGTTCAAATGGACCCAGTGAGGCGAGGACCACATCTGCTTCGCCCTTAACCCACTAAGCGACAGCCTTAAAGGGCAAAGCTTATACGACATAGAATGTTGGTTACGTACTGTAACCCCAGATTCTATGAGTATAGGCGTAGCCCTTTAAGCGTCGGGCTTCACTGACTCCTAAATGGCTGAAGAAAAAGCTATTTGGGAGCCGATTACCCGCTCTTAACGTAACTTATACGAACCAGGTGGGGCCCACACAGCAGGTGGGCGTGGACTAAACTTTTCAGTGCAATGCTTCGCATAACGGGATAAACCCATCAGCGACAGCCTTAAAGGGCTACGCCTATATTCATAGAATCTGGGGTTACAGTACGTAATCAACGTCTTCATAAGGTGGATTAGGCATGTACTGGTAGAGCTGGACAATAATTCAATATTGATATATCTCTCGATATACTTTTATTCAACAACAGTGATATAAGTTCTAAGCACATTTTTGATATGATTACAGCGTTTTACTGACAGATTTCTTTTTCTGTTCAGGTTGAAGCAGCCGCTTTAGTTTAAACCCAGACAGAAAAAGTTGTGACACAACTACGTGACTGCGTGGTGACGTAATGTTACGCAGAGCTCGAGTCCAGAAGGAGTCGGTGGTAGCAGGCTAAGCTAGGCTAGTCTCCAACATGTGCTAAGTTTTCACTTCAAAATGAGCGTCCATGACATCAGAATGTGACTGAACAAAGTTTCACAAGCGAAGAGAAGCAGATGACATCATTGATAAGAGAGGTAATGGTTAGGATTAGAGTAAAGGTAAGATATAGGCTATAGGAATAAATAAAAAAATGAATGAAAGTCAATGCAAAGTCTCTGTAAATAGTAAGACAAATCTGTGTGTGTGTGTGTGTGTGTGTGTGTGTGTGTGTGTTTACGGTCAGGATGCTGATATGGCAGCCAGTTATGTTTCATCCCTTCATGTTCAAAAAATGGATTCCAGGCTTTACACTGATCCTCCCTGAAACACAAAATCAGAAACAATCACCAGAGATCATCCACAGGACACAAAGACAAGAACATCAGTTCTAAATTCAATTCAATTCAGTTCAATTCAGTTTATTTCTAAAGCTCCAAGTCACAACAGAAGTTGTCTCAGGGACTGAACAGAAACATTCATGTATAAAATAATAATTTAACGTTATTTATCTGAGGAGCAGCTTTGAGTTTAACTCCATCACTGAACTCTCATGTTGAACAAGCATGAAGGCGACAGTGGAAAGAAAAACTCCCTCATGAGGAAGAAACCTTTAGCAGAACCAGGATCAGGACAAGAGGACCATCTGCTTCGACCGGCTGGGTTTGGTAAGAACAGATACACAATGGCAGGTCAAGAATCACATGTTAAGATAGAAATAGTATCAAATCAAAACTATTCAATTTTAACAATTTATTTAAGGAAATGAGGTCAGTTTGTCCTCTAGTAGTCTAAGTCTATAGTAGCATAACAAGCTGACCCTAACTATAGGATTTATCAAAAAGGAAAGTCTTAATCCCAGTCTTCAAACTGGACAATGTGTCAGCCTCATGGACAGAAACTGGAAGTTGGTTCCACAAGAGAGGAGCCTGAGAACTGGAAGATCTTCCTCCCATTCTGCTTTTGGAAACTCTAGGAATTGTGTCACGGTCAGCGGCCCCCGCTGCCCCCTCCCATCTGCCTAAGCCTCTGCTCTTTGTGTGTTTTCTGTTTCTGTGTATCTGGTCCTGTTTTCCATTCACTTCTCAGTCTGCCTCTCCACTCTTCAGTCTTTATCATTCACTCCTCAGTCTGCCTCTCCACTCCTGTCACGGTCAGCGGCCCCCGCTGCCCCCCCATCTGCCTAAGCCTCTGCTCTTTGTGTGTTTTCTGTTTCTGTGCATCTGGTCCTGTTTTCCACTCACTCCTCAGTCTGCCTCTCCACTCCTCAGTCTTTATCACTCACACCTGTCCCTCATCAGCCACCTGCCCAGGTGCTCTCATTACTCACTCTCCCTCTGTCTTATAAAAAGCCTTTCTCTCCTCCACTCCTTGTCCGGTCATTGTTCTGTGTTTACAGACATCTCAGTCCTCTTCTGTCTTGTCTGTTTCTTGTCCACCTGATTATCTGCTCTGCCTGGTTTCTGATCCTGTCTGCCCAAGTAAGTTTTGCTGCACCGACAGCCTTTTGTTTTGTTATTAAAAAATAAATTATTTTTATTTTTAAACTCCTGCCTCGCTCGCCTCTCTGCAATTGGGTTCCAACACTGAGGATTGTGACAGAATTGCGAGTAAACCTGCAGTCTGAGAGTGAAGTGCTCTGTTAGAGCCAGAGTTTCTTTATTTGTCCTTTGATATCCTTATTTGTTTCCTTAGATAGAGAACTTTACTAATTGGCTGTTATGTGAATGTTCCTGTAAAGTGCCCTGAGACAACTTTGTTGTGATTTGGTGCTATATAAATAAAAAGAAATGAATTGAAAATTGTCATTCGAACCACATGTGGTACATGTTGTGGAATGAAATTGTGTACACAAGGAAAATATGTTGGGAAAATATGGAACAATAAGATCTGTAATATAAGATGGAGCTAGGTTGTTGAGAGCTTTGTAGGTTAGAAGTAAGATTTTAATTCAGTTCTGGATTTGACAGGGAGCCAATGGAGAGAAGCCAAAACTGGAGAGATCTGATCTCTCCCAGTAACTCCAGTTAAGACTCTGGCAGCAGCATTTTGGATCAACTGAAGATGTTTTAAAGAAGTATTTGGACACCCAGATAATAAACCATTGCAATAGTCCAGTCTAGACGTGACAAATGCATGGACCAGTTTTTCTGCATCATCTTTAGATCAGATGTTTCTAATGTTAGTGATATCACGCAGGTGGAAGAAGGAGGTTCTAGTAACGTCTTTAATGTGGGGGATAAAAGACATGTCCTGTTCAAAAATAACACCAAGATTTTTAACATTAGAGCTGGAGGACAGATTAATGCATCCAAGGAGGGAGAAACGCTCCTACAAGAACCCAGCAGATGTTGGATGCTGCAGATGTTGGATGCTGCAGAAGTTGGATGCTGTCTATCATGGTGCACTAAGATTCATAACTGGCTGTGATTATCGTACCCACCACTGCACCCAGTATTCAATGGTTGACTGGTCATCATTAACGTCACGCAGACTCTCCCACTGGTACATTTCCATCTTTGAATCACTTCTTGGTCTGCTGCCTTCATACATCTCCTCCTACATGTCTCTGTGTGAGTGCAGCTACAGTGTGCACTCTCAGGACATTATTACCTGCAGTGTTCCCTCAGTGAGGACTGAACTAGACAAAAGGGCCTTCTCCTACTCCGCTCCAGTTTCCTGGAGTATCTTACAAAAAGATCAACGGTCAATAGCAATCCAGGAAGTGATTACAAGAAGAAATTGATAGATTGCCTGAAAATTTTGGAGCAGGACAAGGCTATTGACTGTTTTCTGTACCACAGACTGTACCCAGGGGAGGCCACACCTAGTCTGTATGGTTTACCTAAAATCCACAAACAAGGTGTACCTTTAAGACCAATTGTTAGCATGATTAACTCTGTCACTTACAATGTTTCAAAATATCTGGCATCTGTACTCATCCCTTTAGTTGGCAGCTCAGAACACCACATACAGAACACCATGGACTTTGTGGACAAGGTGAGGGAGGTCATCATGGAGACTGATGAAACAATGGTCTCTTTTGATGTCACATCACTCTTTACGTGCATTCCTGTTGATGATGCAGTAGAGGTGGTCAGTTTAAGATTAAAATCAGACACCACTCTGAGCAGCAGGACCACACTTTCCACAGAACAACTGTGTCAACTCTTGAAACTGTGCCTGCAGTCAACCTACTTCACATATGGGGAGCAATATTATAGGCAGAAACATGGGTGTGCTATGGGGTCTCCAGTTTCTCCTATTGTTGCCAACCTGTACATGGAGGAGGTAGAAAAGAGAGCCTTGACGTCCTTTTCAGGGACACCACCAAGTCATTGGTTCAGGTATGTTGACGACACCTGGGTTAAAATTAAATCTCAGGAAGTCCAACATTTTACTGACCTCATCAACTCTGTGGATAAATACATCAAGTTCACACGAGAAGATGTAAAAAATGGCAGGTTGGCTTTCTTGGACTGTGAGGTCTCAGTCTCTGATAGAGGACATTTGCAAACTGCGGTGTACCGCAAACCCACCCACACAGACCAGTATTTGCAGTTTGACTCCCATCACCCTTTGGAGCACAAGTTAGGAGTCATCAGGACTCTGTACCACAGAGCAGACAGCGTCCCCACTAACTCAGGAGCCAGGCAGAAGGAGAAATCCTACACAAGACAGGCTCTAGAGCAATGTGGATATCCTAACTGGGCCTTCCTGAAAGCAGAGAAGAAACCCAAACAGGACTCCAGTCAGCCATCAGGTGAAAAGGAGGAACCCAGACCAGTGGTCATTCCGTATGTTGAGGGAGTATCAGAGAAACTGAGACGTTTATTTTCTAAACATAACGTCCCAGTGGCTTTTAAACCCCAAAATACATTAAAGACTGGTTCATCCCAAAGATCCAGTCCCCTGGCACAAACAGAGTAATGTTGTGTATGCTGTTCAGTGTCAGGAGGGTGATCAGTCTTACATCGGGGAAACTAAACAGCCACTGGCCAAAAGGATGGCCCAGCACAGAAGATCAACATCATCAGGCCAGGACTCTGTGGTCCACACTCATCTCCAGGCCAGCGGTCACTCTTTCAGGGATGAAGATGTTCACATCCTGGACAGAGAGGAACGATGGTTTGAGAGAGGAGTAAAGGAGGCCATCTTTGTGAAAAGAAACCGTCCATCATTAAACAGGGGTGGAGGCCTCCGGGTTCAACTGTCCCCCTCTTACAATGCTGTGATTGCTAGTATCACTCAGCCCTCTGTGAACAGTAAACAGCCATCAGGTGCTAATGATCCATTGTTAGGCTGATGGTCCTTCTTGAGCATGTGATCAGCTGGTTTTGGTTGTCAGCAGCAAAACTGGTTGATCCACTCTGAGAAGGTGCTATTTAAGAGACTGAGCTGAATACAGCTCCTCAGACTGAGGAAGTCTCTTGGATGAGAGACGAAACGTTTCTAGATTTTTTTGTTGTTTTGCTTTGTTTTTGGTTTTTTTTGAATGTCCAGAGGACCAGATTTAACTTTTTTTAGAGTAAGTACAGTCCATTTACCATTTAATGGAAGCATATATAAAGTAAAGAGTACTGGTCCAAGCACTGAACCCTGAGGAACTCTATGACTAACTGTCGTCTATTCTAATTTTTTCAGACAGGTGACAGGTGTGGTGTTGCCCTGTGGCTGCCCTGCTGCGTTTGTCCACGTCAGGCATTTTATGTTTTTGTCATGGTTGTTTTTTTGAGTGCTGTAAACCAAAGATGAAGCAAAGATTAAGCAATGTTCAGAGGTGTCCTCCTTCAAACTCCTCTAGACACATATAGCCGAAAACCTCTCCTGGACTGCCAACACATCTACAGTGGTAAAAAAAAAAAAGCTTCAACAGAGACTTTACTTTACAAAAGAACACATGAAAGAAACCATCTAAAGAAAAAATGGTTAGTGGCCTTTTACCACAGCACCATCAAGAGTTTCCTGATGTATTTAAACTTGATGAACAGAAAGAACCTGCAGAGGGTCATAGACACTGCACAGCATAATACTGACAGTCACATAGCCTCGCTACAGGACATTGCTAGCACACGGTGTCTCAGGAGAACAAGAGCAATCATTGGCAACCCCAGAACAGCACCTGTTCACCCTCATGCCCTCTGGCAGGAGGTACAGGTGCCTTCAAGGCAGGACAAACTCTAAAACAGTCAGGTCCTTGGACTCATCACAACTGTGTATGCTAAGGGTAAATTAAGTAAATATGTATATTCCTTTTAAAATCTTTTAATACCCTCTGTTATATTCATTTATACCTGTTTTGTTGTTTTACTGTTCTAATCTTTACTGAGAAGCACTGAAATCTCACTGTGACCCTGATGTACAATAAAAACTTATTTTTATTTTGTTGACTGAGGTCAGTCAGAGGACACAGAGACAAGAATATCAGATCTACTGACCTGAAGTCTGTCAGAGGGGGGCAGGACTCTTGGCTGCACAACTGGAACTCGTAGCTGTTCCCGAAGCAGCTGCGCCCCCCATTGGCTGGACTGAAGACAACGATAGGTTAGTGGATCTGACTGGTGTCTCTGATGTGTGACATCATAGATGACTGACAGCTGACTCACGAGGGGTTATCACACTGTCTGGTACGAAACCTGATCCCACTCCCACAGGTTCGGGAGCAGGATCCGAAAGGACTCCATGTCCCCCAGCTGCCGTGCTGCCTCAGGAGGTTGGGGGTCAGCTTGATGCAAAAACCTTTGAAGCAGTGCTGCAATCAGAAATTGTTACCATGGAGACAGAAGTTAGAATTGAAAACCTGGATTTCAGTAGGCGGGCAGTCCAGTCTAGGCTGGTTATCCTGAAGCCTGGTCTCACCTTTCCTGGTCCACACTTGGTCCCATCAAGTGGGGGGCCCTTTTTGGTTCTACAGAAGGATGGGTTATTGTAGTGGCTGCACCACAGCTGGATGCAGGGTTCAGGGATTGAGTACTGCAAGAAGACACAAAAACAATGGACTTTTGTGTAACCATCTGTTGGTTCATCCCATTACTATGACCTGTCCCGCAGGTAACTATCTTTAGAATCAGAATCTGAAAACATTGTTAGTCCCAGAGGGAAATTTACTTTGTCTCAGTTCCCTGCAAAGATACAGTGCCTTGCAAAAGTATTCGGCCTCCTTGAACTTTTCAACCTTTTGCCACATTTCAGGCTTCAAACATAAAGATATAACATTTTAATTTTTTGTGAAGAATCAACAACAAGTGGGACACAATCGTGAAGTGGAATAAATTTATTGGATGTGTCAAACTTTTTAACAAATAAAAACTGAAAAGTGGGGCGTGCAGTATTATTGGGCCCCTTGCGTTAATACTTTGTAGCTCCGCCTCTTGTTGCAGTTCCAGCTGCAAGTCTCTTGGGGTTTGTCTCCATCAGTTTTGAACATGGAGACACTGAAGTTCTGCCCATTCTTCCTGCAGAACAGCTGGAGCTCAGTGAGGTTGGATGGAGAGCGTTTGTGAACAGCAGTCTTCAGCTCTTTCCACAGATTCTCGATTGGATTCAGGTCTGGACTTTGACTTGGCCATTCCAACACCTGGATATGTTTATTTGTGAACCATTCCATTGTAGATTTGGCTTTATGTTTTGGATCATTGTCTTGTTGGAAGATAAATCTCCGTCCCAGTCTCAGGTCTCTTGCAGACTTCCTGTATTTGGCCCCATCCATCTTCCCATCAATTCTGACCATCTTCCCTGTCCCTGCTGATGAAAAGCAGGCCCAAACCATGATGCTGCCACCACCATGTTTGACAGTGGGGATGGTGTGTTCAGGGTGATGAGCTGTGTTGCTTTTACTCCAAACATATGGTTTTGCATTGTGTCCAAACAGTTGGATTTTGGTTTCATGTGACCAGAGCACCTTCTTCCACATGTTTGGTGTCTCCCAGGTGTCAAACTTTAAACAACACTTTTTATGGAGATCTTTGAGAGATGGCTTTCTTCTTGCCACTCTTCCATAAAGGCCAGATTTGTGCAGTGTACGACTGATTGTTGTCCTATGGACAGACTCTCCCACCTCAGCTGTAGATCTCTGCAGTTCATCCAGAGTGATCATGGGACTCTTGGCTGCATCTCTGATCAGTCTTCTCCTTGTTCCAGATGAAAGTTTAGAGGGATGGCCGGGTCTTGGTAGATTTGCAGTGGTCTCATACTCCTTCCATTTCAATATGATTGCTTGCACAGTGCTCCTTGGGATGTGTAAAGCTTGTGAAATCTTTTTGTATCCAAATCCGGCTTTAAACTTCGCCACAACAGTATCTTGGACCTGCCTGGTGTGTACCTTGGTCTTCATGATGCTCTCTGAGCTTTGAACAGAATCCTGAGACTATCACAGAGCAGGTGCATTTATACGGAGACTTGATTACACACAGGTGGATTCTATTGATCATCATCAGTCATTTGGGACAACATTGGATCATTCATAGATCCTCACTGAACTTCTGGACTGAGTTTGCCGCTCTGAAAGTAAAGGGGCCCAATAATATTACACGCCCCACTTTTCATTTTTTTTATTTGTTAAAAAAGTTTGACACATCCAATAAATTTCATTCCACTTCACGATTGTGTCCTACTTGTTGTTGATTCTTCACAAAAATTAAAATTTTTATATCTTTATGTTTGAAGCCTGAAATGTGGCAAAAGTTTGAAAAGTTCAAGGGGGCCGAATACTTTCGCAAGACATTGTAAATATGTAAACATACAAAGAATATCAGAAACCAGGCACTGGGGAGGACAAGCCAGTGCATCTCTTGTGCCAGTCCAAAGCCCTGGTAAATGGTGAGGGTTGTGTCAGGAAGGAGATCCAATGACAAAACCATAATGCAAGTTCAGCAAAGCGAAACTATACCGGATCGGTCAAGACCCGGGTTAACAACAAGCACTATTGGTGCTGTTGACAAACAGGGTGCTGGCAGAAATTGTGCTACTGTTAGTCGAAGACCACGAGGAGGGAAATGTGTCAGGAGACAATGGGAGAAGAGGAAAGTCAAGAATGCAGGACCGAGGGTTGCAACTCTAAATGTGCGGTCAATGACAGGCAAAGGTAGAGAGCTGGCTGACATGATGCTGAGAAGGAAGGTAGATGATTTGTATGTCTAAGAGACCAAGTGGAAGGGCAGGAAGGCTCGCAGCATTCATTCAACCTTAATTTATACAGGTTAGTCCCACTGAGCCTTGGGGACTCATTTACAAGAGACACCTGAATTTTAACAAAGAGTGATGACAACAGTGGACAACAACGACAACAATAGACAATCATAAAATATGCATACAAATTTAAATTTACTTTATTTTTATTTTAAACAAATGAAAACCAATGGTGATTAAAAGGTTAATTAAAAGGAAAAGTAGCAAAAAAACAGCTAGATTGTAAGGAGGTGTAGAATAATAATAATAGGAATATGTCTGCCTTGGTTTTTGCCATGAACTTATCAGATGTTTGAAGCCACTTAGGGTGCTTTCACACCAACCCTGTTTAGTCCGCTTTAATCGAACTCTAGCTCATTTTCCTTGAAAGTCCGGTTCATTTGGGGAGGTGTGAACGCGCCATCAAACTCTGTCACGGAACAAAAAGGCGAACTCTGGTCCGGGCTAAAACCTAGGTCTCGGTCCTGTAGAAGAGAACTCCAGCGCGGTTCGAGTACAGTATGAATGTAAACAGACCGGGCCCCGCTCCGCAGGGTAAACAAACACGCATTTCTCTGACTTTATATGGCGCCGTCAGCTGCCTTGTGTGAAAAACAATATTCTCCATGGTCTTCTGTCTCATCTTCTGCTCATGCTGAGTCCATTGTTGAAAAATGACAAAATATAACTCCTAAAACTGCTAAAACTTGATGCCACTTCGTTTTTGTTTTTATTTACAGAAGAAGAAGAAGACGTGTCTTCAGAGGTTTTTGTGTCATTTCTTTCAGTAGTTCTTGGTGCAGCGCCCCCACAGGCGAGCGGGGGAACAGGTTGGTTCAACAGGTTGCTTCAACAGGTTGGTTCAACAGGTTGGTTCAACAGGTTGGTTCAACAGGTTGGTTCAACAGGTTGACTCGACTGCACAGTGCAGTGTGAATGCAAACGCATCAGCTCAAATGTAAACAAAAGTTCATGAATACTGGTCCCAAACCGAACCGAGTCTACCCGACTATCTGGTTTGAAAACAACCTTAGAGAGGTCAAGGTCGAGAGCTTCAGATCTTTTTGCAAGATATTCCAGGGAAAAGGAGCAGAGTAGGAGAAGGTCCTTTTGCCAAGTTCCGTCCTCACTGAAGAAACTCTGCAGGTAATAGCACTGGAGCAGGGTTCAAACTGTTTTACCATGGTTTGGATAGAAAGAGAAATGGAGTAGGGGTGGTCTTGAAGGAGGAGTTGGCAAAGAATGTAGTAAAGGTGAAAAGAGTGTCAGATAAGGTGATGTGTCTGAAGGTAGAAGTAGAAGGTCTGATACTAAATGTTGTCAGTGGTTATGCTCCACAGGTTGTATGTGATGAGGAGGATAAAGAAACATTTGAAAAAGCATGTGACAGAGTGCCGAGGGAAGAGGTGTGGTGTTGCATGAGGAGATCTGGTGAGGCAGAAAAGTATGTTAGGCTGGTACAGGACATGTATGAGGACAGCAGAACATGTATGAGGACAGCAGGTCTTGTTAGACATGTGTGAGGACAACAGAACAGTGGTGAGATGTTCTGTAGGAGTAACAGATAGCTTCAAGTTGGAGGTGGGAGTGCATCAAGGATCAGCTCTGAGCCCCTTCTTGTTTGCTCTGGTGATGGACCGACTAACAGATGAGGTCAGGCAGGAATCCCCCGTGGACTATGATGTTTGCAGATGACATTGTGATCTGTGGTGAGAACAGGGAACAGGTGGAAGAGAACTTGGAGAGGTGGAGGTATGCACTTGAAAAAAGAGGAATGAGAGTCAACCGTAGTAAGACAGAGTCCATGTGTGTGAATGAGAGGGAGGAGGTGGAACAGTGAGGCTACAAGGAGCAGAGGTCACAAAGGTGCAGGACTTCAAGGACTTGGGGTCCACTGTCCAGGAAAATGGGGAGTGTGGTGAAGAAGAGAGTCCAGGCAGGATGGAGTGATGGAGAAAAGTTTCAGGAGTGATTTGTGACTAAAGGGTGTCAGCAAAGGTCAAAGGAAAAGTTTACAAGACAGTGGTGAGAGCAGCTATGTTGTATGGTCTGGAGACAGAGACATGGACAAAAAGACAAGAGACAGAACTGGAAGTGTCAGAAATGAAGATGTTGAGGTTCTCCTTAGGAGAGACAAGGATGGAGAAGATCAGGAATGAGATCATCAGAGGTACAGCACAGGTTGAACAACTGGGAGATAAAGTTAGAGAGGACACACTGAGATGGTTTGGAAATGTCCAGAGGAGGGACAATGTGTATATAGTAGTCCCTTGCTACTTCACGGTTTGTTTATAGCAGATTCGCTCTACCTTGGTTTTTCAAAACAAGATTAGACATGACACACAATTGGCTGATTGATGGATGAGCCGCATGATCGTCATGGAATTTTTATTTAAAATAAATTATTTTAAATTATTTAGCACCTCTTGCACCTTTGTGCAGCCCACACTGCAGGATAAACTTCCTGCTGCAGCTGATCTTCTGTTCACCGTGCATAGCGGAGAAGTGGGCATGACCAAGAGCGCTTGAAGGTGGCTGAGAGCAGATGAGGCAGGGAGCTGACATCATGACATTCTGTGCTCTTTTAGAGCATTTAGAGTTTAGAAACCTTGTTTAAAATATTGTAACAGTGTGGGAAGGGTTTAAAATGCAGTTAGAGAGGACATGGAGGTAGTTGGAGTTAGGACAGAGGATGCAGAGGACAGAGTGAGGTGGAGGAGGATGACTCGCTGTGGAGACCCCTGAAGAGGGAAAAGCTGAACAAAGAAGAAGATACAAAGAATATCAAAGTAAATTTACACCTGAAT